GACGCATGTTTTGATTGTCATGATAACTCTCAACAATTATATTTGATATCCTTCCCGCAACGACATTAACTTTTGTAGAGTTGACGAGACTCATGCACGTCCCTGTCGAGGCATATGAGTACCTTCTTGGATAGTGTTTGTCATAGGCTGAAAATGATGTTCCCAAGGTTCGCTCAAGATGGGAAGGTGCAATTGAGATGCCAGAGTTGATGGAGCAAATTACGGATGCGATAGTTGAAGGATGATTGGAGGGAATGCTATTTTTTTCTGTCAATTGTAGTGTTTTGCAGATATTCATTGTTTATTGTATCAGTATTTTATACAATTTATGTATATTTTTGTTAATTATGCATTTGATATTTACCGTATTGGTTTTTTATGCAAAGTTGTATATGTTCTTTTTCTTTTTGCATATTATTTTTTTTTCTTTTGATGGGTTTTAGAGGTCTATGATAAGACGTTTGACTTTATTAGGTTTCTGGATGACATGTATGTCGCTATTGGTTGGTGTCACATGTGAAATCCTGATGAAGTTAACTAAGTTACTCTCTTTTTTCAGTGCTACAGTTTTTTAGGTTTTTTTGGATTGTCTTTTTTTATGATATGCATATGTGTGACATACATGAACTTGATATTACGTGGGTTGAAGGCAATCAAGATTTTTTTTTGTAAGTTCTATTGTCTTCTTATAGTGAAAGATTTGTTGGTTTATATATTGAGTTCTCTGAAATCTCACAGCTGCATAAAACTTTAATTAATTACTTCTGTTATCAATTTTTAATTATGTAATGTCTAAGGGTATGTTTTTTTAAGCCTTCAGGAAAGATGAGCTCGAAGATTTTCGGCACCTCTAGAAGATTGCACTGCTACAATGAACTTCAATGTTCCTTGCTCGCTTCACGCCAGCCACATATCTACGAGAAACAGTTTTACAGGTGCCCTCAGAGACACAAAAAATTGTGATTATCTTCGATGGATAGATGGATTGGAAAATTCCACCGCTAAGAGTGATCGGGCATGAAAAGTATACCTAGAAGATGGCTGAGCTCGTGACCTATGTCGTCAGTATTTTAAAAATAATATTATCTTATTATTAATTATTATTTTAATTGTCCATTTCTTAATTTTGGTAGTCATGTTACTGACTATTTAGTGAGATGTTTATCTTTATCTTATAATGTCTTGCACTGTATATTTGATTTTAAAATATAAAAGTACTAGAATGAACAATTTTGTTGCAAAAAACATTACTATATAGAGACAAAATGATCATTTGTCCAAAAATAATTGCAGCACAGCAGTTTTCAAACTACAAAAAACAAACATACATTTAGTTTATACGCAACAGCTTCTGCGCAGTAGCTTATTATTAAGCTGCAGCTGCCCCAAACAAACCCATAGTTAACATTCCAAATGTTAATTATTTAAGGAAAAAAATCTTATAAGTGCATTTCTTTAGCTAGTCTATCCATTCAAGAAGTAACAATATACGCTAAAAGCCAAAAAAACATTCTAAATTGTCGTAACACAAGCATAGAATTTGGAGCAAATTATCCTACTTACTAAATGGTTAAACCCGAACATCAAAAGATCAAGTGAATTGTTACAATCTTTGCTAGTACTAAAATGAAAATGAGATGAAATAGCTATAGATTTTCTTCTTTTTTTGTTGAGTTACCAAAGTTAAAATGGATGGTACACTATATGGGTTATTATTAAAGAAAATGATTCTTCTAAAAAATTAGCAAACTAATAAATGAATGAGATTGTAAGCTCGCATCAGATATAGATAATAGGATTACATCTAAGTTGTGAAAGAAGAATCAAGAATCTTTAGATACTAAACTGACTTTTCGTAATGCATTCCACCCACAAACTAATAGTAAGTCAAAAGAAGCAATTTGAACTTTAAAGATTTACTGAGCTTTTGTGTTCTTGATTTTAGTGGATGCTAGGAATCACATCCACTACTAATAGAATTTGCTTACAATGATAATTTTCAATTAAGTGTTGGTATGATATCATATGAAACACTCTATGAATGGAAATACATAACTCCTCTTTGTTGGGCAAAAATAAATAAAATTAATTAAAGCTGATTTAAGAAATTATGCTACTCAAAAGATTCAATTGATCCATGATAGATTGAATGCTATATAAGATAAACAACAAATATCATGAAGCTAAAGACAGATTGGTGGATTTAATGTTAGTAAGTTTATATTTATCAAATTTAATCCAATGAAAGATGTAAAACATTTTAGTAATTCAGAAAATTAAGCTGACAATATAGAGAACAAGATGAAATTATTGGAAAAGAAAAAGTAAAAAGTGACACACAACTAGCATTACCAGCACATATGGATACATGGCTGATAAAACCACTCAAATGGTCAAAAGATCCTATAGACAAACAATCTGAGCTAACATATCTAAAAACCAAGGCAATATTAAAATATGATGTAGAACGACTCCACTATATTCCATTCGTAGGAACTTTATGAAAATATAAAACCCATAGAAATACTACATGGAAGAAATAAAAATGCAACAACGACATCCATACCTCTTTAAGGTATCTATGACTGTTATTATCATATCCTTAAAATTTTTTTAAGACGATTTTTTTAAAGGGAAGATTGTAAAAGCTGTTCTTTTTTATATATTGAACTGATGACATAGTTTCACTGAACCGACAAGCAAGTTCCTTCCTCAGCTCATGAGAGGGGGGCAGAAAAATGGACCAACTAAAAACAAGAAAGCAAAGCAAGAGACAGAGAGACTAAGGGCTCGTTTGGAGCAGCTGCGGAGGCGCGGCACGGCACGTGGACGCATTTTTGCGTGGTTTGAGGCGGCGGCGGCAGCAAAGCGTTGCTGCAACAGTTTTGACATTTTAATGAAAAAGCGGGCCGCGGGATCGACCCCGCGACCAGCGTTCGTTCACGAAGGATTACTCGGCTACCCTCGACCTCTCTCAGCGTCTCGTCCTCCCCCGTAACACATCCTTCTCCGATCACCTCCAACATTCCCAATCCCAAAACCCTCTTCGCTTCCGCAGCTCCACCTGGGTCGATCGCCTCCTTGAAGACTCCCTTCGCTTCCCAGACGCGCACAGCGGCTTCCGATCTACGATCATCGCCTTGAATTAGCAGCTCTCCGTCGTACGGGCTGCTGTGCATCGGCGAGATGATGCGGCCACGGCTTCCGCTTCCCGTGAACAGACGAAGACGGAGAAGAAGTTACTAAAGCGAGGAGCATTGGGCGATCGGGGGGTGCGGCTCTATTTGAGATCGATTGCAATTAAATAATCGAACAAAATATATTGTATTGGGAATTTAACTGTTCTTCTCAGGTTTTATTGGGTCCGGTTGCTTTTAGAAGCCACTTCTTTACCCACCTAATGCATGAAGTTTCTAGCTAAAGAATATGACATTGGTTAATTTTCAGTTTTATCTGTGTTTTATCTTTGGGTATGTACTTTTTAATAATTGGATTTATTTTACCTTCTATGATGAATGAAACTTTTCACATGAATTGACCTCACTTTTGGGGCTCACTATTAGATTATTGGTGTACCTTAACTTTTTGCTCTTGGAAATGAATTTTTACTTCTGAAATTTCAAAAATATGATTGTTACAGTCTTCTTTTAAACAGTTTTACCAAACATGGGCAGTATGGTTATTTTTCCAAAAATAACTGCCCCACAACTGTTTTCACACAGCTGCATCAAACAGACAGCCAGCTTCCTGGGGCAGCGGAGCTGCAGTTGAAAAGTTGCAGCTACGCCAAACAGAGCCTCAGGCTTCATTTCAAATAACGACAATGTTTAGTGAATTTCTTTTAGTGAATTTCTTTTAAAAGTTGTCTTTGTCACTTGACGAAACGACCTGTGATATGAAACAACAAAAAATTATCATTCTTGCAAAAAAACTTTCTGAGATGTTTGTCTCCCGCTATTTCACCAAACAAAATTTTTTTACAATCTTCGGCGTTCGCTCTAACTGAACAGAACTTCCTTGTTGTTTCAAATGAAGCTAAGTAGCAGGTGGGCAAGCGTCAATGAGAGAGATCGAGAACAATCATGTTAGGTTAGAGTAAGATAAAGAACAATCTCGTGGGAAAACTAGTGTGCAAAAATCAATTGCAAGTTGAACTCTTCTCCCTAAGATTCTGTATGTGAATTTGTGAGTCTAAGTACCAAGAACAAAAAATAAATCAATTTTAATTTCAGTAGTAGAAATAACTTTGTAATAATTATCATTAGAATTAAAATTAACCTTCTCATTTGATTCATCATATTTAGAAAACTTCAGTTGTTCACTTTTAACAATTAAGATTCACTTATCAATCTGCTCGATTGCCTCATCAACTTCAGCTGCATACATTCAATAACAAATTCAATCTTTTAAAACTACAAGCTCATATTCTGGATTCTTTATTAGAAGTTTAAGCTTATACATGAACAGTCCAGGTTCAAATTTCAATTTAAGTTCAAATTCAACTGTATGTTAATTTCAGTGCAAGTTCAGCGGAAAATTGAAGCAGAATGAAAAACAGCAGAGAAATGGAAAAAAACCCATGTTTTATAACATTAAAAGAAATTTCAACAAAGGTAAATATCTTCACAAATTAACATGCAAATCATAAGAGCTTAATATCCATCTGTTATAGCTAATCAGTAAAATTCATAGCAATATAAGAAAATAAAAGGGAAATTTACATAGATCACACAATTCTCATGTTTTTACATATCTAACATCCAAATTTTGATATTTACACTTATAAAACTTTGGAGTCATAAATCTATGAATGAATAGGTGTATATCATTTTTAAAGAGGTAGTGATAGTGGTACCTTTTATGTGATGTTAAAGATTTAAGTGGCATGCATGTAACTATGAATGTTTATGTGTTAGATAGGCAAATACATGAGAAATGTGTGGTATGCACGCAAATGCCCCTAAATAAATTCTAACATAGCCATAAGATATATCACATACCAGCTCTGAATCATTCCCTTTCAAAGGTTTTGTTTTCTTCCTCGAAGTGTTTCCAAACAAAGCTCCAAAAGCGCATGCTGGCTTTTTCATTACCTGAACAGAAGCTGTTGGTGTACCCTGCAAATAGTTGTCAATAAATTATAAATACAGGCAAAAAATGGTCTCCAAATTAAAAAATATGTATTGCCTTACATCTTTGGTTGGTTGGGAAGATGAAGCAGCTTCATTGTCAATCATGTCCCTCTTAACTGTTTCAACTGCATCAACATTTTTGGATGAATAGCTAATTTCTAATAATGACAACTCTGGAATTTTCTTCTCTCCCTGAAGTCTGCTAACCGAAGTGATTTGACCAAGGGACTGATTCATGCTTGTAGGATTTATATTGTCAGCCCCCGATAGTATATCCAATTTATTGGAACTTTTACCAACTCCTTCAGCAGCTGTGCAGTCCATAGCATGCTCATTAGGATTAACAGATTCTGAGTTCTCAGCTTCTGAAATTTGCATTGCTAACTGCATCATCGGATCATCTCACTGCTTGACTCTAAAAAACAAAAGGGGCATTTACATACATAGGACACAATTCTTATGTATTTACGTATCTCAAAACTAAAATTTTATATTTACACACTAACACTCAAATATGTAATATCATATCAAAAATAACACTATTACCACTTTTTAAAGTGTAATACACCTTTTCACATATATAGTTTTAAAGCACCAAAGTGCTATATATGTAAATATGAAAGTTTAGGCGTGAGATGTAAATATATAAGAATTGTCTGCTGCGCATGTAAATTTCCCTAAACAAAAATACAAAAGCTCAGCTGATCAAATCTGTTTCACTTACAGCTTCAGCACGCCCCTTTCTTATCTCTTCAGCAATGCTCTCAAAAGCAGAAGAATTAGAAATTGCATTCTTAATAATCCTCAAGACAGCATTGAGGTGGCGCTCAACATAATGGTGCTTTGATTTGACTAACCGACGTAAGCTTCCAGATGATTGAGGCATTTGTCTAGCTATCATACATAAGGAAATTAGAAGTAAATTTTAAGTGCTTGATCATTACACGAGCAATGACAAGGCTGAGGTACAGCAAAGTATGTTCAAGTACCAATCTCAAGAACAGCTTTGTTTGGTAATATATATCCAGTACTTTCATCCTCTTCACGAGCGACTTTATCCCTCCATTCACATAAACCCTGTAAATAATTGAACGGAAGCATTAATAAACAGCAATATAGATCAATACTTATGAAAAATGATTAGCTTATAAGATTTTGAGGAAAACAAGGAAATTTTAGTTCACGCTACTTTAAATTTAAGCAGTGATCATCAATTCAAAGTTCTTACAACAACTTTACCAAAAACGTTGGATTGGATGTGCTTCCTTTTGTTGATTTCAACAATATGACTTTCTTATTGACATTATTTTGTAGTTATTTTTATCTCAAATTTGCAGTCCTCGATTTTGTAAGTTTCCTAATAAAACTTTTCAGAGGATTGTATTAATTTTCTACATAATGTAAATAAAATCACTCTACAAACTTTTGAATTCCTGTCAAAATCATTAAAAAAAGAATTAAAAAGAAGATTTTTTTTATCTATAATTTTATGGCTAGTTTTTAAAGGTCTTTAGAGATGACATATACTGTGATATGAATCTAAAGAAATAGTGAATATTCAAAAGAATAAAATTCAAGGAAAATAACAAGGTGGTGTTGATCTCATTTTTGAGGTCATTTCTTTTTCCTTAAGGTCTTAGGATCTAGCTCTAGGAGTTCCTATTGACCATCTTAGAAAACTAGAATTGAGACACACTCTTTTAGAAATTCTAACAACTTCCCATTTTCCTTTGATGTCTAGCATTTATGGCACAAGACCATCGTCTTATCAACGAGTGGTTATGGGTTATTCTGTGAAGACTCAAGGGAAAAGTTTCCAATAGGACTCCAAGCTTTAGAAAAACCTTCTCATAATTTTTTCGTCACATATACACACCAAATGCACAAAATTCCCAAAATTGCACAAAATCGGACTTCAATTAAGCCTAAAAGATGCGTGAAAATGCGAACATCTCCGGATAACCTCCGACGACAAAGTGGATTGCACCAAAGAATCCGGGACACCAATTTTGGTAGGAAAAGACATCTATATTGTCATATTTTCGACACAAGAAAATTGACACGCAAATCGATGAATTCGTTGAGATGACCTCCGACGGCGAAGCAGACCGTGCCAGCACCTCCGGAATATCAGAATTACCTAAAAAGGACATCCAATTTGCAATGATTTCACACAAATTAAAATGTGCAAATCAATTTTTTTACTTTAAAAATTAAGTATTTTCACACTTATATTTTTAATTATATAATATTTATAAAACCTAATCTCTATTCACCTAACCCACGACATTGTTTCTTTTTTTCCTTCTTCGACCGAGAGCAGCTCGGGCGTGCCCTGACTCCCGCGACTCATCTCCTAGGCGTGGATCGATCTAGCGGCGCCATGGCTCACCGAGCCCAATTTTCCTCTCCCGCGTCTTCTCTGTCATTCGCGCATGAGATGACTCGCCTTCTTCTCCTCACACGCGGCCTTCCTCTGTCGATTACCCTCAGCGGACCGTCCACTTGACCGAGCAGCCCTCCAACTGCGAAGTTCCACCTGGCCGACGTTCCTCCTACTCGAGGCTATACTCGCTCCCTCTTTATTGTGACTCTTCTTTTCCTCTTTTCAATTGGTTGGTTAGGGCGGAAAACAGGTGACTTCTTTTCGTTTCTCTCGCTTTTTGGCTTACGAGTGATTAGAGGAGTTTTTTGGCGTCTTCTTTTGGTTGTCTGGCTACTTGAGTAAAAAAAAAAAGAGAGAGAAAGGGAAAGTGTTCTTGAGAGAAGAAATTTTTTAGAAAAAACTAGGCGTTTTTTTCTTCCTTTCTCACGGTTAGCAAACGGATTTACTCCTTCTCTATTGTTCGAAAGAAGATTTCCTTCCTCTCTGTCGTTCGAAGGATTTGCGGCTTTCTGATCTATTTTGCGTGAGGCTTTCAGGAGAAATTTTTGTGGTGTTTTCTTCGATCTTATTTTAGTGTTTTGCTTTAAATCTGCACTAAAGAGGTATTCTTCTCCTCTCCTCTATTTTACATCATTTCGGATGACATGAAATATGGAAATTTATTTTGAAGTTTAAGCATGAGTATTTGCTTAGATGGTGAGAAATGAAACATACATATATGGATCATCTTTACTTTCCTTACTTGAAGCACTTGAAAGCATGGCTAAGGTGATCTTGGAATGCATTTTTATTCCTTTATAAATACATATGAAAAAAGCATGTTTGAAGACTGCCTCTATTACTTTCGTTGCTTGAAATATTTGGAAGCATGAAATGCATGCTGGAAATTATTTTATGGGATGGAAAAATACATTTGGGCTTATGTTTTATTTTCATATTGCTCCCATTTTGCTGCAATATATGTTGGAAATTGTTTTATGAGGTAAAAAAAAAATATGTTTGGGCTCTTTTTATGTTCCTATTGCTGCCCTTTTGTTGCAATACATGTTGAAAATTATTTTATGAGGTAAAAACATATGTTTGGGGTTCATTTCATGCTTTCTATCTTATCCCATGTATTGGATTCAATTTGCCTTTTTTTCTTGGGCTTGGTTGTGGCTTTATGGAATTTGATTTTTATGACTCTGTTTTAGCCCGTTTAGTGGAATCAAATTGAGCTTCTTTTGGGATTAAATGTTGATTGGAAATGCTCTCATTTATTTTGCCTTTTTACTGAGCTTGGTTTAGCCTCTATGTTGCTTGGTTTTGCCCCTGTGTTGGGCTCGGTTTCCCTCTTACTTTGGCTCGATCTGGGCTTCTTTTTAGTGACTTATGTTGGTTGAAATCTCTTATTGTTTTGGAACATTCCTTGGGCTTGGCTTGCCCATATGTTGGGCTCTAGTTGCTCCTTTTCCAGGCCTTACCCGTGAGCTAGTTTAGGGCTTAATTAAGTCTTGTTTGGGGGCTGGTTTGGCGGCTGCTCCTTTTCCAGGTTCTACCTGTGAGCTCTCTTCTCTCTTTTGGCCTTACCCGTGAGCTAGTTTAGGGAATAATTAAGTCTGGTTTGGGGTTTGGTTTGGTGGTTGTTTTGCTCTTTTCCCTAGTTTTACTTATGAGTTTGTTTGGGAGCCGGTTTGACGGCTGAGCTGGTTTGACGGCTGTTTTGCTCCTTTTCCAAGTTCTATTCGTGAGCTCTCTTCTCTCTTTTGGCCTTACCCGTGAGCTATAATTTGTGATTTATTGATGGAATGGATTGAGCTAGTGGGTGTTTCTCTCTATTACCTTGGACACTTATATGGATGAATTCATGTTTATGAAATAAAAAAATGGTGAAAAGAAAAGGAAGTTTTTGCTTAAAAGTGGAATTAAATGGAATTGATATTGGTATAGCTTTTGAAAATTTGAAAATTCATTCCCTATGAATTATTCTCTTTTGCTTTGTGACAAATGAAAAGTTTTTTTTTTTTTTTAACTTTGTTTCAAGAAATTATAAACTTAATATCAATTGAATTCATGAGGGGATTGGAAATGCGCAAGATTGACATTTGGAAATGATATCCTTCTCTAGATTGATCCGCCCATTTCCTTTTAACGAATTTAAATGTTTTAGACCGATACATTCATGATTTTGTTTTAAGCTTTATTGATTCGCCTTTATTTTAAAAATGGATCGGTCTCCTTTTCGTTTATTTTATTTTTTTTTAAAGGTCAAGTTAAAAATGAGAATTTTCGATTTAATTATATTCAGAAATGAGTCATAATATTAAGGGAAATATGAGGAAAAGAGAAATGAAGAGAAAATTAAAAATAAGATTTGGATATTCGAGGTGATAAAACCTAAAGGGAGATAGAATAGTGAACCATCTACCATTCCTTTTGCATATGAAAGATGAAATTGTAAATTGGAAGAATAGTTGAGGGTTGAAAGAAAATGAGAGCTTAGATGACGATTAGGGACATGGATTGAAAGATCGGTAGACCTGCACTTAGGTCCCTTAAGTTTTGAATCAACTTAAATCCAACTACCCTGATTAGGATTGAAGCACACTTCACAACCCTTTTTGCCAAAACTATAAATTCACCCCCTTAGGTTTTAGGAGTCTGATAGGGAGTTAAGCTTGATCTAAAAAATGTTCGAGGATTAATTGAGAGACACTTAATTGAGGTTAGACACTTTAGAACACTTCAGACCCAAATTAAAGTATAGAATTCCTAGGTCTTAGGAGCACACCTTGAGAGAGTTCATCCTTTTAATGTTCAAATGATCCTAAGAAGCCAAACATCTGACCCTAGTTTAGAAGGACACTAGACACGAGGGTGCACTAGATTGTGGTTCATGACTGATTTAATTAAATCAAATAATGAAATTCTTACCTTAACTTGACCAAAACTGAAACCCAATGCTCCGGGATTTGAGTTTATCTTACACTCAAATCCTCTCGGCAATTGGGGACATTCCCAATATCGCATATAAATCTCCTATTCTTTGTCCTTTATATATGATATTATATTTTATTTTATTTGTTTGTCTTTTTCCTACGATTTACCTGTTTCTCTTAAGTCTTTTTCAGGTCATACTTTCTTTTTTTTACACAGCGCACAATAGCTAGACTTAAACGAGCAACGAGCCTCCCGGGTGTATAGGTTTGATTTACATTACAGTATTTTCTTTTATAAGCATGCTACTGTCCTTCTTTACTGTACAGTACATTATTGCTTTTCTTTCACACTGCATGTTTTACTGCTTAGTTTTTACACTATGCCTTAAATTAGGATAACCTAGTGGTTAGGTGTATTTTCAAAACCAAAACTGAACCAGGAGGTGCTACTATAAAGAGCTTAGAGCGAACATCGTGGGCAGCACGACGAGGAACAACTTCAAGGTGGATCAGCAAAACACATCACATAAACATTTTCACAACGCTATACACTTTCCTTAGTTTAAATAACAATCCATAGGACTTCGAGGTAGTTTACCTAACGCAACGTAAACCCTCACATATCACTTTTAGGCTTTTTGCACAACTCTGTTGAGCAATTATAAGTCCTAAAAATTTAGGATTCCGAGGTTGCCGTGTGGTACGGTATAAATCCTCCTATCTTTTTAGGCTATTTGCACAGTCTGATATTGTGTAAACATAAGTCATAACTCATAAATAATTTGCAGGAATGAAATATCAAATTAAATCATTTCAAATACATAAAGCCAAATACATAAAGCCAAACAATAGGATACAAACAATAGGATAGCTGGGAGTTCACCGGGGTTTCCCCGGATTTGTGATAGCCCTAACTTTTCTTCCTTTTAAATTCCTTAAATAATTGTTCCTATTTTGAGTCATTCCCATTTGATTTTCACATACCCAATCGTGAAAACCTAAACTTTGAAATCTTGAAGGCAAAACCACCTGATTTTAATCGAGAGTTTTCTTAAGTGATTTCGGTCATTTAAGTCATTATTAACTATAGGGGCTT